GAGAAAAAAAGGGGGGGGGGGATCTAACATAACAGGATTGGAGAGAGAATTGCTCAGCCCAGCTTGGTGCCCAACACACCCCCCCCCCCCAATCAGGTAGGTGAATGTAGATATCTGATCCAGGATTCCAATTCTTTTCAAATCTAGTGTGCTTATCGTGAAGTCTAGTAGCCAACTATTCATGAAGCATTATCTGGGAAAGCTTTTGTTTAGTTGTGACTATGTTTATCAGAAAAGCTTTCCAAGCTTTTGCAATAGACCTTTGCGCAGCTAGTAGAATGTAGAAAATGAGGGATCTCATATATGTATGTCTAAGAATGTCCTCTGCCAAACCTTAACCACTTGTCAACCACGCTTTAGCCGAATGACAGCTACAGCGTGGTTGTCCATTTCTGAGAGGGGCGTCGTATGACGTCGTCCAAGAATGCAAACCTCCCACGCACTCCTGTCGATCTCCGTGATCACTGTGTCCTATGGACACAGCTGATCACGTGATGTGGTAAAAAAAGCCAATCTTAGCGGCCTTTTACCACTTGAACAGTTGTGTCCAATGACACAGCAGATCACCGGTAAATGCAGTTGCCGGTTATCAGCTGCACTTTCGTCACGCTGTAACAGCGTGAGGAAAGTACTGCCGATAACCGGCATTTGGCACTGATCATCAGGCACTGATTAGTGCCCAGCAGTGCTGCCTATCCGTGCCGCCTCATCAGTGCTGCCTATCCGTGCCGCCTCATCAGTGCTGCCTATCCGTGCCGCCTTATCAACGCACATCAGTGGAGAAAAATTACCTGTTTGCAAAATGTTATAATAGAAACAAAGAAACTTTTATTTTACAAATTTTTTGCTCTTTTTTATACCGCAAAAAAAAAATAAAACATCCAGCAGCAATTAAATACCACCAAAAGAAAGCTTGTTTTGTGTGAATGACAAATTTGAATGACAAATTTTTTCAAAGTGCGACAGCGCTGAAAAATTGGCCTGGGCACGAAGGGGGCATAACTGCCCGGTAGGCAAGTGGTTAAACAGAACGCTCTGGTCCTAAAGCACTTAAATTTCGGAGAGGTCCTACAAAACATAAAGGGTAGGCATCAGGGAAGATCTGGTGAGTCTCTTTGGCACCATATACCAGCGAGACAGAACTTTATAATTCGCTTCAGCGAAGTGTTGAGAACCCCCTTGTGCATCATAGTAGACCATCTTAGACCAGTCTTCTGCATCTATTTCTGTTCCCACATCTGTTTTCCATACTTGCGGGTGGGGTAATTTTTGTCAAGGGTGCGGAGAGGAAATGATACAGAGTTGATACATCGCTCTTGAACTGGTGTCCTGCAAAAACTTGTTCTCAGAGATTGACGTAATAGCATCTGTGTTCTGCCTAAAGCAGTTCTTCATTCATTAATTTTTTTAATGAATTAAGTCAGCAGCTACAAAAACTGTAGCTGCTAACATTTAATAAACATTCACTCACCTGTCCAAGGATCCAGCACTGTCCTCACCCAGCTGGTTTTCCTCACTGGTCTTTGGGTTCCCGACATCTTAACTGTGGGCAGCCCTGCCCAGTGTACATGTACAAGCCACGCTTCGCCTTTTGAATGGTCCCACGGTCTTTTGGGACCTAGTATGTGTCCGAGGATTGCGGGTGGGGAAGGAGGGGGGAGAACTGCCTAGGCAATTTGAGCGGAAGTGGCAGCGGGGTACTTGTCAAACCCTGCTAGAATACCAGTCTGTATTCATTTGCTGGTTCACCCTCCTTATTTGTCATGTTTACTGTTGTCATGGAAAGTAAAGAAAAGCCCAAATTTTTGAGTTGTCCCCAGTACAGTTGGGGATGGGAAATCCTCCTATGGGGAAACTATATCTGGTGACAACCAGAGATTCCTTAACTTTAAAGGGATTTCCTCTTCTTTGGGTTTTGGACAGGAAGTAAATGGAAATCTCACCAATGGGATGCAGGTGGTTAAAAAAAAAAAACTGACGGGTTATAACCCTCCATTACCCTATCCAAACTTTTTCTTAATTTGCCTTTACTTCTACACTGACTTGGAATTACTGTTTGTATAAAGGTTTGACTTTCATGATCTGCATTTCTGTTCAAGGGTTCATAAAATATTTCCAGTTGGTCAGCATTACAGATAGGCAACTAGCATTTATTGGAGGAGCCCTGGTATTTGGGAACCGATGGCTCCTGCTACTGTGTCCAAGCCAATGAGGAGGGCTGACCAGTCCATTTTTTGCTATATGGCGCTGCGTTACTTTAACTGACAATTGCGAGGTCATGCAACACTGCACCCAAATGAAATTTATGGGGTTTTTTTGTTTGTTTTTTTTCTTCCCACAAATGGAACTTTCAGTTGTATTTGATCGCCTCAGCAGTTTTTTGTTTTGTTTTTTTTGGAAAAAAACCTCCAATATTTTTGACTTTTTGCTATTAAACATGTCCAGTAAAAAAAAAATTGATTTCGTCATAAATTTAGGTCAAAATGGATTTTTCTACATGTCTTTGCTTAAAACCCCCCCCCCAAAAAAAAACTTAGTGTCAAATGGTATATATACTGGGATTTTTTTTTAATACTAGTAATGGTTTCGATCAGCGACTTATAGCGGGACGCATTCTGACAATGGGGGGGGAAACGGACTGTCACTGACATCCCCAGTGACTCTAATATAGTGATCAGTGCTATTAAAAAGCACTGACACTACTGACACTGGGTAGGATGGGGTTAACACCTGGGGTGATCAAAGGGTTAACTGCATGCTGTTTTGCTGTGTGTGTGTTTTACAGCGTAAGCACGCTGCTTTGTGTTGCTTGGAGCTGACCAGGGAGAGATCTGTGTTTACATACAGACCTCTCCCCTGTCAGTGATACTCACGTATATATACACATGATTTTGCGCAGCCTTGCCGCCATGTAGCAGCATTTCTGCTATAGGGCAGGAGGCAAGCGATTAAAAAGTCTTTAGAACCACTCTAAATTGAGAGCTCAGGAAGAGCTGTTATCTATGCTTTTCTCTTCTAATAAGTCTGACCTCTAGTAATGGGAAGATTTTCCCAACTGACTTGTTTACAACTGCCTGCAAAAAAAAAAAAGTTTTCAGAACTTTATAGTTCTAAACATAAGAGAATTCATTGTGTCTAAGACACTCTTTAGAAACCTGGTGTGCATCTATGCATCAAATGTTGGTGCTGGTGACAAATTCAATCAGTGTACTGCTGTTTCTCCTCTTCTAGCTCTCTGAGCTCATTATGCAGCTCAGAACAGAGGGTGTGATCACTTAAAAAAAAAAGAAAAAAGGTGTGTGTGTGTGTGTGTGTGCGTGTGTATATATGTGTGTATGTATGTATACGTGTGTGTGTATATATATATATATATATATATATATATATATATATATATAAAGGCTTAATCAATGCCTAGAAGCACAGTGAAGTATATTAAGAAGTGGAAGGTACACTATATTGCAAAAAGTATTGGGACACCTATCCAAATGATTGGATTCAGGTGTTCCAATCACCTCTATGGCCACAGGTGTATAAAATCAAGCACCTAGGCATGCAGACTGCTTCTACAAACATTTGTGAAAGAATGAGTCGCTCTCAGGAGCTCATTGAATTCAAGCATGGTATGTGATAGGATGCCACTTGTGAAATTTCCTTGCTACTAAATATTTCAAGGTCAGTTGTTAGTGGTATTGTGACAAAATGGGGAAAAAATTGGGAACAACAGAAACTTAGCCACAAAGTGGTAGGCCACGTAAAATGACAGCGCGGGGTCAGCGCATGCTGAAAAGTCACCGTTTGCAGTGTCAATAGCTAAACACCTCCAAACTTCATGTGTTCTTCAGATTAGCACAACAACAGTGCGTAGAGCACTTCTTGGAATGGGTTTGCATGGCGGATCAGCTGCATCCAAGCCTTACATCACCAAGTGCAATGAAAAGCGTTGGATGCAGTGATGTAAAGTATGCCACCCCTGGACTGCAGAGCAGTGGAGACTTGTTCTCTGGAGTGACGAATCACACTTCTCTGTCTGGCAATCCGATGGACATGTCTGGGTTTGGCAGTTGCCAGGAGAACGGTACTTGCCTGACTGCATTGTGCCAAGTGTACGGTTTGGTGGAGGGGGGATTATGGTGTGGGGTTGATTTTCAGGGTTTGGGCTTGGCCCCTTAGTTCTAGTGAAGGGAACTCTTAAGGTGGTAACATGCCAAGACATTTTGGACAATTTCATGCTCCCAACTTTGTGGGAACAGTTTGGGGATGGCCCCTTCCTGTTCCAACATGACTGTGCACAAAGCAAGGTCCATGAAGACATGGATGAGTGAGTGTGGGGTGGAGGAACTTGACTGGCCTGCACAGAGTCCTGACCTCAACCCTATATACACCTTTGGGATGAATTAGAGCAGAGACTGAGCCAGGCCTTCTTGTCTGACATCAGTACCTGACCTCACAAATGCGCTTCTGGAAGAATGGTCAAACATTCCCATAGACACTACTAAACCTTGTGGACAGCCTTCCCAGAAGAATTGAAGCTGTTATAGCGGCAAAGGGTGGGCCAACTCAATATTGAACCCTGTGGACGAAGACAGGGATGCTATTAAAGTTCATGTGCGTGTAAAGGCAGGCGTCCCAATACTTTTGGCATTATAGTGTATTTGGCACAGCAGAGACCCTCCCTGGATCAGGAAAATTCTTTCCTATACCCACTATATATGTATATGCAGATGTTTTACTTTTCATTTCTATTTTTAAACTGAATGGGTTGTTTTACAAGGTGTGGGTTTACATATACTTCAATTTGCTCTGACACTTAGGGGTTTATTTACTAAAGCTGGAGAGTCCAAAATCAGACTCCCTTCTGCATAGAAACCAATCAGCTTCTAACCTCAGCTTGTTCAATGAAGCTTTGGCAATGAAACCTGGAAGCTGATTGGTTTCTATGCAGAAGTGAGTCTGATTTTGCACTCTCCAGCTTTATAAATAACCCCCCCAGTGTTACTTAAAACCACAACAGTAAAATCAGTCTGTATATGCAGTAAAATATGCTCGTTATACTCACTGTGGAACCTAAGGGGTTAATCATCTGTACTGTGTAAAAAAGGCTGATTGATCCTGACCTCCCTGATCCTCCCCTTCTTCCAGTGTCCCCCTCTTATCTCCTGATAAGACATTGTGTGGAGTCACTCTGCAGGTGCTCAGTTTGGTGTGTATTGCTAGAGAGTTTTTTTTTCTTGGGAGAGTGCATGTGATCAGCACAGGGCCAATCAGCATTGTCCAGACGGAGGTCAGGGGTTCTGCATCCTAGAGCAAAATGAAAACTCCTACAAGTTTTAACACGTGCTCTTCTGGACACTGATAGAAGTCACAATACTGCTGATAAGAAAAGGTATTTAGCAGTATATATTAAAATAATTGCACTTCCATATTCTGTTTACTGTGGAAGACCGGATATAGTGAATGCAGGGTCCTGGGTTAATAACTTTAACTTGTTATGCTTCTTGACATTTATTATTCTTCATCATCCTCACTGCTCAACAGGCTGATTATGGCTTGAACTGCAGGCAAGCCTTTTCTTGATTTTGATAGGTTAAGGGTGTAGCAATCGTGCATACAGAGATGGATGCGAACCTCCATTTTGGCAAAACTCTCCATCTTGTATCTTTCTCCCTCCTCCAAATCCCCCCTCCCTCTCTGTTGAGTGACACGTGGTCCCTGGATGCTGATTTAAAAGGCATCAGGCCCCAGCAGGAGAGCTGCATTGTTATAAACCCCAATTAGCCTGGCCCCAGTAGGTCTGTGAGACTCTTGCTTGGAAAAGGATCGTAAAACCATGAACCAGTCCTTCACTGAGCTTCAAAGACATTCCAGCTAGCTGTAAAATCCCCTTTTCTGTATAATTTTATATCTGGAGATAGGGAAGACTTACAAGGGAACCAGGCATATATTCAGATCGGTCACTTTAATACAAGTCGGCTGATATATTACACACCTAGTTGGAATCTACAGGAGAGCCGAAAACGATATCTCCTTAACAGTCCCAAACATGTATGTCATATTTAATATCTAGACATTCAACAAGTGCTTCTGCATATTAATCTAGTTTCAAGGCTGCTATATGCACTGAGGGTAAGTTATGGATCATGACATAAGCTGCGTGGGATTTTGGTTCTAGCTTGGGTCTCCACCTGCAACACCCTCCCCAAATGAGGCGATTGGTTCTCTGCTTTAAGGAGACACCCTGCTGACTTCCTAGAAAAGGGCTGTTATGCTTGGAGTTGAGTTGAAGAATTCTCCCTATTAACACCAGGAACCAACTTTGGGAGAACGGTACCCTTTTGCTCTGACACTTGAACGCTGCTAAACCAAGGATGACGGCAAGTACTTTACCTCTCTAAACTGTGTGTGTGTGTGTGTGTGTGTATATATATATATATATAAATATAATATTATATGCTACATCTTTTTCTGTAAATATTTCTATTGCACTCTTTTTGACCTTTTTAGTAACTAATCTTACTTTCTGAAAGTGTTGAACTGTTTCTAAAGCTCTTTAATGCAAACTAAGAATACCTGCCTCTGAAGTGCGCTACTGTGTGTTTTAAACGTCTGCATACATCTGTCTGCAGTGACATTTTGTATACAAACGATTATTCAAACATCATAGTGTATTGCTAATATTGTCAAGTTTCCTCTTTCTCTGTACAAAAAGGTGGTGGCAGTGTGAAGGGTTAATTGCATAATTAACCTGATCCAGTAACAATTGCTCCCAGGCTGCAGGTACACAGATTGTGGTCCATTATTTGGAAAATCTTTGTGCAGGGTGCAGCTGGGCGTGGCATTGTTACCCACGTGACAGCGCGGTTTTAGATTGGCTAGTCCTTCGGTCACAAGTTTGGTGAGAAGGGCTGGGGTCTGACACTGCGATCGTCACAAAGGGTTCATATCCTTTTAGGTTGTTATTGCTTTGTGCCCAGTTTGTGAATATTTTCCCTTTATTTTCTGCTGGGTTGAGTAAAGGGAGGGTGCTTAGCAACATGTTACATCTTGCTAAAGGTTGAATTGGCCTTTAAAGAAACAAAGGTTTTTTGTTTTTTTTTTTTATGTTTGTTTTTTTTAATTTTTCATCTTATTGTACAATATCCATTAGATTTACCTACAGCTATGTAATACAAGAGCCTACCTGATTGGCTGTTAATGAAATGCATTGTTTAGGTAGGCACTTGCACTGCGTAGTTAGTAAATCTAAAGAAGATTGTGCTTTCAGTCAAATTGTGGATAGTGGTTAGAACTACCATCTAGTCTAAAATACTGTGTTTCCTGTATGGGAAGAATTTCCTTCCCTTCCTCTTCAGTCTGATACCCTTTGCCTGGATGGGATATGAATTGAAAACACCTCAGTGGGGGCAGACTGCATTTGAAACCTGACTGATCTTCCCAAAGTGCTACAAAATTTTTCAATGCTGTGTTCTCATTTGGCTGCTTTCTGACATAAATTAAGAC